TTGATGGACCAAATGACATTAGAAAGAAGGCCTTTTCCAGAGATAAAGAAAGGCATATAATTAATTTATGGACAGTCCTTCATTCAATAAGTGAAGAACTGTCACTTCTAAAGTGATGAAGAGTGATCGCAAGCTTGTGGTTGCTTGTGAAACCATTTAAGTCCAAAGTTTATTTTTAGCATTCACACAAGAACATGTAGCAACAAAGAAAACCGCTTGATTAGTGTATTCTATCCCCTAGCAAATGGACATCACTTCTGATAATGGCATCTGCCAAGAAAATGCTATGGAAATGGAAGAGGAAAGAATTGCTATAAGATAGAAAATAGAGTTATAGAGTGACCTAGTGTATAAATCATTATAGTTGCTACTCCAGAGTAAAGAAGAAAAAATACTTGCTATTAAAGTAACACAGGATTTGACTGATTTTGTGGGGCACAGCTGCACAAAACTGGAGAGATTGGGAGTTATATCAGCTTTCTGATTTTCCAAAGGTCCTCCAGAAAATGTGAAACATCATTGAAAGGGAAGAGCTGATTTTTCCAATCCAGTTTTGTGGGCTTTGTAGGACTAGCATGGCAACAGAAGTCTCTGGAAGAGACTTCACTGCGTCCATTTCACTGCGTCCATTTCACTCTTAAATTCCTCCCAAGTCTAAATACTATCTGAGAGTAAAAAAAGGATGAGAATAGTTTGCTTCCCAAGGTCTCTTCCCAGTTCGACCTTTAAAACATACCAACATGGGAAACTTAGTGGCAGATGGGGGGTATTTTCCATGAAAGAAATGGGGAAAAATAACTCAACAGCCTACCCTTCTGTTTCTATCTTTGTTTAAAACACACCACGGGTGGGTTTCAACCGGTCTGCGGCGGTCTGCACGGACTGGTTGGTCGGTAAACCTGGAAGTAAGTAACTTCCGGGAACGCAGAAGGGCCCACCCGCCTGCCCACGCTCCTTACCGGTTTTGAAGGCTTCTGCGCTTCCACGCAGGCGCATGGCACATACAGCACCGGCGCGATTCTCCGTGAGCAGCTGGAGCATCACGCAGGCGCTAAGATGCATGCATGAACTGCGCGCGTGCACAAGGATGCCGCCGACCCCGTTCCAACCGTACCAGTTGGAACGGGATGAGCAACCCACCACTGAAACACGCCCATGCTCACACACTACTGACAGCAACTATAGTATATCACTACAATGTAGCCATTTAGTATCTTAGGCTGCTGACAAATGGAAATAA